TAAAAAAACATATAAAAAGAATATTTCATTAATGAATAGTCAATCTGTATATCTATCAATCTATGTATCATTAAGTGACATTAAAGATACCTGACCTATAACCTTCTAAATTCATTACCTGGGTCACCATCAGACCACATGTTTTTAATACTCACTAAAAAGGGCAAGGGTTATGATAAATACTTTGATACAGTTAATTTTTAGGATTAACAAATAAATAAACTGAAATTCTAAAGCAGTCTATTTTACATAAAGTAGTATTAACTATTTTTTGGATTGCCCTTAAGAGTCTCCACAAATAGTAATGATAAATCAAGAATTACTGAGTCATTTCATAAAGTACCTGGTTCTGACTGTAATATATTTATATACAACGGGAGCTGTCAAAACATATACAGACAACATATTGGGGTATATTTTCAGGGTTTAATAATAACTGTTAATTGGCTGAATTTAAGATGGCATAGATACAGTGTTTTTATTACTTTTCTGAAAATATATGATCTTATAAATTGTGTTTATGATATTTGACATTTAAGAATGTATTTACAATAAGTAGCACACACTGTGGAATTTAAAATCTGAAGAAATACACAATCAGTTTCAGAATATATTGTGATGATGATTAGCTAGGATAACTAAGATTCACAGAACTCTAAAATCTCATTTACATAATAATTAAATGGAATATCTCCCTACTACTAAATAAAAAATATAGCTGTTAACAGAAGTAAAACGAACTGTTGTAAGTCCCATTCCCTAATTTTATTTATTTTCTGTTGAGGGTATCAATAGCAATTTAATTTCTAAAAGATCATCCATGAATACATAATTAGCACTTAAAAAACAAAACAAAAAAAACTATTAGATACCTCCTTCACAATTAATTCATGGTTAAGATATTAATGCTTTTCCTCATTTCTTGAGGTATTTTCTCTCTTGGAGTGGGAAAGGCCACCATTACCAGATTCTTTCTGTTATATAAACAGGTAAGAATAACTGTCCTGGGGAAGAGAATGTCAAAGAATGAGGTTCTAAATCTGGCTGTGCCTTAAACTTTACGACACTGGGTATGTCCCATCACCTCTAGACTTCAGATTGTTCACCTATAAAGTAAATAGGTTGAGTTATGAAGAGCCAAGGGCTAATGTTATGAAGTTTATAACCAAATATGGCAAGGCTTTTTTTTAACTAATAAAAGAAGAGTATTTTCTAATGTTATAAAAAGTTTTAATTAACCTTAAACATCACATGGAAATTCAAAAGAATCATATCACAACAGAACTTAAAAATGGGGAAAACTGAAAAAGGGGATAAAGTATTTTCTTCACAGCTACAATAATGCAATCTCAAAATACTAAAAGTCATGGCCTTAACTATGCCATAGTTAAATATAACAATATTTATATATAAATATTATATATAAGTAGTATTTACATATAAATATTTTGTATTTAAAATCAGAAAGAAAAATTATTTAAAAACAGCATTTACATTAGTCCATAGATAAGCACCTCATCTCCACAGACAAACATTCTGAAACATACTAGGCACAAGAACACAAAAGTAGTACACATAACATTTCTAATGTATAATTACTGTTTATCTAGCTTCCCAAAGTTTAAGACTGTAGTTTGATATTAAAAATTGGACAATTTTTCTACTTACCTTCTCCAACCATTGTCACACCTATTGACATGCCTAAGAATTTGCTCTTAGTCCAGACATGCGCATTTACACAAATCTTCCTCTCTGCACATTCTGCATAAAATCCTGAGACTGGAGGATGATGGGAAACCTGCTCCGCAACAAATCTGACCATATAACAGTCTGATCCCACCTGGCTCAAAGGCTCCTCCGACAGAGGAGGCTGATTTGTGATTGCCTGGGTGGAAGAGCTGCTAATGACATTAGATGTGACCTCGCTTTTCGGCATCCTCCAGGAACAGTGAAATGTTTCTCCAATGATTGGATTGTACGGTTTCTTAGCGATGGCTCCCTTACGGCCTTCATGAAATGAGGTAAGGTAGTACTCCACAAAGCGAATCATTCTGTCCTCAGCTGTGGCTCCATTAGTGATGGCAATAAATAGGTCTGGATGAGACATAAAGTCCGCGTACATTTCCAGCAAGGAACGCTTCTCTAGGATAAATGTAGGAAGCACCACCTAAAACAACAAAAAAGATCAACCAAAGAGGGAAAATTTAATCCATGGGTTTATCTGTAGGCAACTACTCTTACCTCTCTGAAAACATTTTACTCTAAGTGGGTATTATAAACAAAGTTACAAAGGAAAAGTATTTGGCCTCATTAAGAAATACACCAAAAAAAAAAAAAAAACTATTGCCATCGAGTCGATTCCGAGCAGAACTGCCCCATAGGGTTTCCAAGGAGCAGCTGGTGGATTCAAACAGCCAACCTTTTGGTTAGCAGCTGAGCTCTTAACCACTGCACCACCAGGGCTCCATTAAGAAATAGCATGCTTAAAAGCAAATGAAAGCCCGCCCAAGTGGTCAAGCTTAAATACCAATTCAGGATTTCAAGAAGGTCAGGTAGAAGGAATTAAAAAAAAAAAAAAAAAAAAATCCTCAGACTTCTAAACTAGAAAAAAGTAGCACCAGGGAAATGATGGTAAAAGTCAAAGTATATGTTAGCTATGCTTTTTTTCCTTTCATGCTTTAAAAAGAAACTATGGGACTTCCAGCAAAATTGCGCTCTAGGCAGAAGCACCACGCCGTCCCCCCACAGCAAAGATCTGAAAAACTAAGCCGAACAGAGAAAACAACAATCCTGAAACCCTAAAACATCAAATGAAGAGATAAAGAACTCAGCCAAGC